ACGAAGTGGGTCTGCCCGCAAAGCAACCAAAGGTTTTAGAAAACTTAGGAGTGGGAACCACATTTGAAAGGCTAGGGGTGCACATAAAATGTCTTGGGACGATGCTAAAGGAAAAAGACGGCAAACGGCGTACTATCCACCAACCGATGAGAGATGTTATCGAGAATATCCGGTCTCTATACGAAAAGGCTGCTGCAGAAAAATGCAAGTGCAAAGATAACGAGGCAGTCTGTGTTATTGGAAGCACACAAACGTCGCCATGGCCAAGAGCAAAGCCTGGCTCCGTTCGGAGAAAAGCGGCTACTGAAGCTGTCGGCTCCCCGGCGAATAAACGCGGAAGGAACGGAGGAAGTCAACAGGGATGTCCACAACCCGTAGAAAACGGGCCTACAATGGATTCTACGGCCACAGTGCAAGCAAATAAAGACAGCGAGTGGACCGAGGTCAAAAAGAAGGAAAAACGGCCCAAACCGAAGAATGTTGCCACCACAGGAAAACTGAGGCCAGACGCAATCATCATAGAGAAAAAAGGTGAAAGCTCGTATGCCGACATCCTAAAAAAGGTTAAGAGTGATGAGAACTTTAAGAGTTTCGGGGATTCCGTATCCAAAATACGACGCACCCAGAAAGGCGATCTTCTTATCGAACTCGCGAAATCATGCCCAAAGTCGGCGGAATTAAAGGCCCTTGTGAGTGCTACCCTAGGGGACGATGCTTCGGTAAAGACATTTACTCACCGAATCCTGGTAGAATGTAAAGACATCGATGAGGTTACAACCAAAGAAGAGGTATACAATGCTATTAAATCATTGCCTGGTCTTGAAGGTATTGAGAGTTCAGATATAACTGGTCTGCGCCCTGCTTATGCTGGCACTCAAACAGCTACTATTAGCTTACTTGCTCCAAAAGCTAAGAAACTGTACAGTAAAGGTAGGATGGGTTAACTGTCGCATCCGCGAAAGGGTCCAGCTGAAAAGTGCTTTAAATGCCTTCAGTGTGGACACATGTCCCGTAATTGCGGTAGCACATTTGACCGGTCGAATCAGTGCGGAAAGTGTGGCACTGAGGGGCACTTCGCTAAAGATTGTAAAAATAATCCACAGTGTATTCTGTATAGAGCGGAAAAGAGAGAGAACATAGACCATATTACAGGCAGTTATAGATGCCCAGTTTTTAAGAAAGCTCTTACAAACAGGAAAAAATGAGAATAGNCAAAAGATGTGCTTGAGGTCGGAGCGGAATCAGTGCATTCCGACCAGACCTAAAAGAGTGGAAAGGGCTAGAAGCTGGAGCGGAAACTACTGCTTTCCGCCCAGACCTAGAAGATGGCGATGGACTAGAAGCTGGAGCGGAAACTACTGCTTTCCGCCCGGGTGACTTAGGCCGGAATGGAATCAAATGCATTCCATCCAGGTTCTACGAGCGGATCTTAACCCTGGCGTCCCGCCTTTTCAACACGAGTAAAAGGGATTGGAAATGCAAACATTCCAACCGCCTAAAATCAGGCAGCGTTCTCGAACGTTGCGCAGAGGAAAGTCTTGGCGATGGCCAACTTACGGATCTAAATGGAATCATCCACGTGCTGAGAGGAGTACTAAACTCTTTACTCGTTGTGTACCTCCAAAACTACTTCAAGTTAAAGCCGAGCCCAGTAAGGCTTTAAAACCTGGCATACTGGAAACCCGTTTAGGATAAGTCTGCTATGAGCTGGTGATACTAGTATTCCGTTACCTGAGTATGCCTGAGTGACATCAAGCAGAAATGGCTTTCGGGCTAATGTTAGTGTCGCCCCCGTCCCGTTAAAACTCTGGCAAGACTCAGGAAACGCTCTCTATTCGTCACCGTTCAGTCGGCTGCGTAGGCTCAGTTGAAGCGATCCTGACTAATACCGATCTGGCTCTGATTTAAGACCCCATAAGGGCTTGCCTCAACCCTCGCCATGGCCTCACTGTTTACATAGACAACCATGGGATCAAATAGGTAACTACGCATACGAATAGAGATAACGGCCCTGAGTGGGGACCCAACAATCAAAATGGATAAAAAAAAACATAAACAACAAAAACGCTACACCAAATAACTCGAGTTTGGAAATCTGTAGAGAAGGCGACTTAGATCCCTTTAAGAGGAGCTCAAAACTATCTCGCTCCCCTGTGACAACCCCAACGTGCGGAACTCCCCCAGTGGATGGGTTCCATAACTCTAACGAAGTGGGTCTGCCCGCAAAGCAACCAAAGGTTTTAGAAAACTTAGGAGTGGGAACCACATTTGAAAGGCTAGGGGTGCACATAAAATGTCTTGGGACGATGCTAAAGGAAAAAGACGGCAAACGGCGTACTATCCACCAACCGATGAGAGATGTTATCGAGAATATCCGGTCTCTATACGAAAAGGCTGCTGCAGAAAAATGCAAGTGCAAAGATAACGAGGCAGTCTGTGTTATTGGAAGCACACAAACGTCGCCATGGCCAAGAGCAAAGCCTGGCTCCGTTCGGAGAAAAGCGGCTACTGAAGCTGTCGGCTCCCCGGCGAATAAACGCAGAAGGAACGGAGGCAGTCAACAGGTATGTCCACAACCCGTAGAAAACAGGCCTACAATGGATTCTACGGCCACAGTGCAAGCAAATAAAGACAGCGAGTGGACCGAGTTCAAAAAGAAGAAAAAACGGCCCAAACCGAAGAATGTTGCCACCACAGGAAAACTGAGGCCGACATCCTAAAAAAGGTTAAGAGTGATGAGAACTTTAAGAGTTTCGGGGATTCCGTATCCAAAATACGACGCACCCAGAAAGCGATCTTCTTATCGAAGTCGCGAANGAGGAAGGCTTCGTTCGAGCTGAGGTAAACGGAATTAGCATTTTTAGTTGTTATGCAAGACCTAGCCTTACAAAAGATGAGTATACCCTTATGTTGCGTAGCATTGCTGAATAAGCAAACGGGTAATCCCCGCNTAACACGAGTAAAACGGATTGGAAATGCAAACATTCCAACCGCCTAAAACCAGGCAGCATTCTCGAACGTTGCGCAGAGGAAAGTCTTGGCGATGGCCAACTTACGGATCTAAATGGAATCATCCACGTGCTGAGAGGAGTACTAAACTCTTTACTCGTTGTGTACCTCCAAAACTACTTCAAGTTAAAGCCGAGCCCAGTAAGGCTTTAAAACCTGGCATACTGGAAACCCGTTTAGGATAAGTCTGCTATGAGCTGGTGATACTAGTATTCCGTTACCTGTGTATGCCTGAGTGACATCAAGCAGAAATGGCTTTCGGGCTAATGCTAGTGTCGCCCCCGTCCCGTTAAAACTCTGGCATGACTCAGGAAACGCTGTCTATTTGTCACCGTTCAGTCGGCTGTGTAGGCTCAGTTGAAGCGATCCTGACTAATACCGATCTGGCTCTGATTCAAGACCCCATAAGGGCTTGTCTCAACCCTCGCCATGGCCTCACTGTTTACATAGACAATCATGGGATCAAATAGGTAACTACGCATACGAATAGAGATAACGGCCCTGAGTGGGGACCCAACAATCAAAATGGATAAAAAAAAACACAAACAACAAAAACGCTACACCAAATAACTCGAGTTTGGAAATCTGTAGAGAAGGCGACTTAGATCCCCTTAAACTATCTCGCTCCCCTGTGGCAACCCCAACGTGCGGAACTCCTCCAGTGGATGGGTTCCATAATTCTAACGAAGTGGGTCTGCCCGCAAAGCAACCAAAGGTTTTAGAAAACTTAGGAGTGGGAACCACATTTGAAAGGCTAGGGGTGCACATAAAATGTCTTGGGACGATGCTAAAGGAAAAAGACGGCAAACGGCGTACTATCCACCAACCGATGAGAGATGTTATCGAGAATATCCGGTCTCTATACGAAAAGGCTGCTGCAGAAAAATGCAAGTGCAAAGATAACGAGGCAGTCTGTGTTATTGGAAGCACACAAACGTCGCCATGGCCAAGAGCAAAGCCTGGCTCCGTTCGGAGAAAAGCGGCTACTGAAGCTGTCGGCTCCCCGGCGAATAAACGCAGAAGGAACGGAGGCAGTCAACAGGTATGTCCACAACCCGTAGAAAACAGGCCTACAATGGATTCTACGGCCACAGTGCAAGCAAATAAAGACAGCGAGTGGACCGAGTTCAAAAAGAAGAAAAAACGGCCCAAACCGAAGAATGTTGCCACCACAGGAAAACTGAGGCCGACATCCTAAAAAAGGTTAAGAGTGATGAGAACTTTAAGAGTTTCGGGGATTCCGTATCCAAAATACGACGCACCCAGAAAGCGATCTTCTTATCGAAGTCGCGAAATCATGCCCAAAGTCGGCGGACTTAAAGGCCCTTGTGAGTGCTACCCTAGGGAACGATGCTTCGGTAAAGACATTTACTCACCGAATCCTGGTAGAATGTAAANTAAAGCACCGAGTATCATGTGCCCAGAAAGACTGCGCGATATAATAACGACTCTATTTCCACAAAGGGAAGAAGTCGTACCAAACTGTATATGATACGAATTTTTGATGTCCCAGTTATTACGGTTAACGAATTAGAGTCCGCATGCAAGAAGATCCAAGACGGAAAAGCCCCTGGGCCGGACGGAATACCCAACAAGGCTTTAAAAGCTGCAATTAAAATGAGGCCAGATTTATTTGTAAATGTGTTTCAGACTTGTCTTAATGAGGGCATTTTCCCGAAAAAATGGAAGGTCCAAAACCTAGTCCTAATAGCAAAGGGAANACCTGGTCTTGAAGGTAGTGAGAGTTCAGATATAACTGGTCTGCGCCCTGCTTATGCTGGCACTCAAACAGCTACTATTAGCTTACTTGCTCCAAAAGCTAAGAAACTGTACAGTAAAGGTAGGATGGGTTAACTGTCGCATCCGCGAAAGGGTCCAGCTGAAAAGTGCTTTAAATGCCTTCAGTGTGGACACATGTCCCGTAATTGCGGTAGCACATTTGACCGGTCGAATCAGTGCGGAAAGTGTGGCACTGAGGGGCACTTCGCTAAAGATTGTAAAAATAATCCACAGTGTATTCTGTATAGAGCGGAAAAGAGAGAGAACATAGACCATATTATAGGCAGTTATAGATGCCCAGTTTTTAAGAAAGCTCTTACAAACAGGAAAAAATGAGAATAGTCCAAATAAACCCCAATCACTGTGAAGCAGCGCAAGATCTACTATCACAAACAGTAAGGGATCTTCAGGCAGACATGGCGATTATAAGCGAACCTTATAGGTGTAAAGATGACTGTGCGTGGGTTTGCGATAGTAAACAGGGTGCAGCTATATGGCTCTGTGGTGGACTCGCATTTCGAGGAAGGCTTCGTTCGAGCTGAGGTAAACGGAATTAGCATTTTTAGTTGTTATGCAAGACCTAGCCTTACAAAAGATGAGTATACCCTTATGTTGCGTAGCATTGCTGAATAAGCAAACGGGTAATCCCCGCAAATTATCGCCGGTGACTTCAATGCGTGGGCAACAGAATGGGGTAGCAGACTAACAAATAAAAGAGGCGAGCTGCTGCTTGAAACTTTTGCCCAACTCGGCGTATCAATAGTAAACAGCGGGTGCACATACACCTTCCGCAGAATGGGAACTGGGTCAATCATTGACATAACGCTGACGAGTGACTTCTTGGCCCAAAAAATTAATTGGAGAGTTAGTGAGGAGTATACCCACAGCGACCATCAGGCAATAATAATGGATATAACTCTGAGGCGACCCAAACAGATGCCAAATCTGACAGGCCCAAAATGGAAAGACAGTATGTTAGATGGAGAGGTCCTAGCCTGCATGATGGAAGAGTTCCAACACAAAGCTGGCTCGGTAGAGAGCGAGGTTGACCACCTGGTTCGTAACCTCGCATGCGCCTGTGATGCTGCTATGCCTCGAAGAGTGGTGAGGAAACAAAATTCTCCATGCTATTGGTGGAATAACGATATAAAAATACTTAGACGTCAGTGTCTGAGTGCTAGACGCAGAATGC